GGGGACAATTGATGAGGGGTGATTTGGCCCTCCAATGACATCGTGACATGTGGTATCCTAGAATTGTCTCATGACACCTCAGCACCATGTAGGCAACGACTTTAGAAGCACTTTGGAAACACCTCGTCTGCCTTAAATGTCCTGGCACCACCTCAACAAGATCAACCTACGGATGCCTCGGCAGGGTCAGGTCAGCGTAAGATGCGATTTGCTTCCACTGACCTGATTGAGACCCGGCTGGTGATCTACATGATGTGGCATCCAAACTCCTTCATGAGTGGGCTATCGTCTTCGACTCTTTTAGGATCACGTCGCCTCATCAACGGAACTAACTCCCATCCCGCCTGCTTCGGAGACAACTGAATAAGCTCTATCACTTTACGCGGAAGCCGACTCCAAGTGTGAAACCACCTCCAAGAGAGGCAGGCTAGTGATCATGGACATGCTACATGAAGCCCATGACAAGCTGCACCTATATAGAGGCACCCCAAATATTAAAGAAGGTATAAGCGGTTTGGCACTCATCTCCCTTGCTTTCTCGCTTTTCTAGCTCTCATAACACACTCATTGCTAACTTAAGCATCAGAGTGCCCACCCTGGGTATTTTGACTGTTTCCTTGCAACTCGGCCGCCTGACCTAGTCAGCCTGTCATTTGAGCTATCCTCTAGTAGGGAGCTACTGGATTATGCACCATCAGAAACTTTATGTTGTTTTCCAACTAAACAATGAACACACTTAGTCAAAGGCATACTTGTTGTGTTGGGGAGGAGTTGTTTCTTTGTGAGAATTTGTAAACCTTTTTCAATCATGTGGCCTAGTCGTGTGTGCCATAAATCTATTAACACTTCCTTAACCATGTCCATCTCACCATTGTAAACATGTATTTGAGTCTTGTAGAGAGTACAACACACTTCCCTACAATTTTTAATGTACCACTATTTCCCATCTTTACTACACCAAAATCAATGGATTTGTATGATGTGAAAAATCCTTCCTTGGGGTATCATGGTAGGAGACATTGGTATCAATTACCCAATCCATATCATGACATGTGAGACTAATGCAAGATTCTTCACAACCCGAGGAAATGATTAATTCTCTATCGGAAGCAACTACAATGGTTTCTTTTTCTTCATCCTTTTCTTTTGGTTCTTTCTTAAGTTTTTTGCAATCCTTATTCACATGCTCCAATTCTGGCAATAGTATCATGTAATCCCCTTTCTTGAATTAGACCTTCCCTTGGATTTGTCACAGTGTTGTGGATATCTACTCTTGCTTCTCCTCCAATTATTTTGTAACAAGTTTATCACCTTGGGATGAATCAGATGTCTTTCTTCTAGTTTTTTCATTCAATAAACTTGTTGTAACTTGACTCATTGTGAGGACCTAATCAGGTGTAGAGTTACTTATAGACACCGTTAATGTCTCCCAACTATCCGACAAAGAACTAAGGCCATGTTTGGTTCAATTCTCATTCTTGCTCATGCTTACCCAAGATGAAATTCTAAAATAGACAAGAATGGGAAAAAATAGGCAGAATGAGAAAATATTGCTGTGGACCAAACACTTTTTTCCTAAAAATGAATTCTTTTCAGACTGACAAGTGTCATATGTTGCTTATTTTCATTCTTAAAAAAAACTATGCCAACATTCATAAACTGCCAGCCTTGGTCTCCAGAACCGCTAGCATAGATGTTTACTGATGGATGGCCGACATTCTTAAAGTAATTTCATAAAAGTACTTATAGAAAAATGCTTTCATAAAAGTTCTTTAATGTAAAAGTACATTTATAAAAGTGCTTTCATAAAAGTTTGTTTATAAAAGTGCTTTCGTAAAAGTACTTTACTTTCACAAAAGTACTTTTCATAAATGTACTTTTACAAAATTGTTTTTGTAAAAGTGATTTCGTGTAAAAGTACTTTATAAAAGTTCTTTCATAAAATTTCTTTAACAAAAGTGTTTTCATGTAAAAGTACTTTTATAAAAGTGCTTTCACAAAAGTAAACATCTATGACAACAGTTTTGTAGGTAGAGTTTCCTCAAAGAATGAAAATGAGCAAGGTGGGGCATGATTATTTTTATGCTACAAGCTACTCAATTTTTGTGCTTTGGGGCTAATTTTTCATTCTAAAAAGAATGTAGCCCATGGAAAGATTTTTGTAACCAAACACTGATGTTATTCATTCTTGCCCGTTCTTGTCTAGAATTAGCAAGAATTAAAAGAATGCATGAGGCCCAAAGTAGTGAACCAAACATGGCCAAAGTAACAACAAGGCTTGCAGTTCATCATCTAACACCATTTTCATAAAGGAGAGATGATTCACAATGCTTTGCATTTCATTCAAATGCTCTGTAATTGATGTACCTTTCTTGAACTTCAAATTCACAAGCTTTCTAATTAAGAAAGCTTTGTTTCCCATTGTTTTTCTTTCATATAGACTTTCCAACTTTTTCCAAAGAGAGTGTTGAAGTTTCTATAGAAACATGATGAAAAACACTATTTTCAATCCATTGTCTAATAACCTCTACATCTGTTTTTTTATCAACTTTCTTCCATTCCCTAATGAATGTCCTTTCCGAATTGGCTTCTTTTCCTTCAATAGGTCCATACAAGTCCCTACAATACAATAGATCTTCCATTCTTAGGTTTTCAAATGGTCCAATTATTCCCATTCAGCATAACCATATGACTTGTACCAACATCCATGACTTACACACCCAAATTACTTTAACCAAAGCTCTGATACTACTTTGTTGGGATTAAAATCCTTTGTTAACAATGTGTAAATCAACAATGTAAATGAGAAAGAAGAAATAGCAAGTAATGTCCACTGAGAAAAATAATCAAACACCACAAGAGAAATGGTGCATGGAAATTTTTAACGTGAAAAACCTCTCCAATGTGAAGAGGAAAAACCATGGGGTACTAACCTAGAAAACTTCCACTATCAATAAAATAATGGGGTTACAACTTCTCTAATTCCAATTAGTAGATGACTACTTGAAAAGATAACAACCTCTCTTGGATACATAGAAAACAATTATCAAATAAGAAGTATTTCAATCAGCAAACATGACAAAGATCTCATCAAACAAAGTTAGCCAAGCCCTCGCAAAACATTGAAGAGTCAAGAAAACCCACCAAACTTAACGGAATAAGTGTGAAACAACAACCAAAACAGTTGATTGAAGTATTCTTGTTCACAAAAGATGATACAAATGTAAGTTACTAGAATGCCAAGAGACTCTTTACACTAGGACAAAATGAGACTTGTAGAAAAAACCAAAACATAGTGGAGAATGGGTCCCACCTTCCACTAACATGAACCAAGACATGACAATTTGTTTATTTCTCACTAATGAGAGAATGCCAGGAGTCTCACAACTATACTTCTTTCTTAAGTCACTCGCATATTGACCAAGGCAACCCCCCAACACATGAGTGGTTCCCACTTCCACATGAGGAGGGAAACCCAACAACTAATAGCTAACCATCATATCTAGAGTGATGTTATGAACTCCTCTTACTACAATGAACTACAAGAAAGTACCCTTTTAGAGTTCAGGGGTTCTGATGATTGGTTAAAGTTCTTGTATCATACCTTTCCAGCATCATAGATATTACCAACTTTCAGAGGTCTTTATCTATTTTCCCCTCTTCTTTGTTGTGAGGCAGTCATTAAATACCAATAAAAATGACCCCTAGGGATGACTGGAGGAACATTAAACCATTATGATCTCTTCAATTAGAAGCAAATGAAAATAAGTATCAATGGAAGTGTTGCTTGGGTCAAAACTGAAAATACTCTCTTGGGGAGCTAATGATAAGTAAAGAAAAAATATATCATGTAGAAAATAAGCTAACATTACAAGGGTTAGTCCCATTGATCAGATATGTTAATCACTTGTTTAAAATACTTGGTTAATCATTTATTTGAATTGTTCTTTGTAAAAGAAATTTCATAATTGATTCAATTTAGTTACGTTATTTCCCAAAAATGGCTAATTACCTCCTCGTAGCTTAGAAAGAGAGATTTTAAATTTTGTCATGTGGTGAAGCTAAGGTACAACCAATTAATGCCAAGTCACAACTCCGATAAAACATACAACTTCCCAACTAAAATCACCTTCCCAAACAGTTACTAATCAAAGTTAGTAGCTCTTCTCTCCCGTCCTAAGTTGGAACAAAAATAAGAAACAACTATCTAATTCATTTTTTTATGGATAAACTACCTAATTGATCAACTGAGAACCCAATTATTACTAAATATACCATGTCCTTTTTTAAATACATAAACAAAATTTTTTTCTCAATATGAGGAAGAAGAAGAAGTAGAGAGAGAACAACTTATTTGTCTTCTCTATTTGTCCTTTGTGGGAAGGCATACTCTCTATTCTTTGTCCCTTCTGTTTGTGTTGCTGGGAGGAAGATTTTGAATAATAGAGAGAGATCAACTTATCAATGGGTAGAAAAATAATTGGAGAAACAAATACTTGGGTGGTGGAAGACTTGAAGAACATTGGAAAGAGAAGCTTCTCAATAGGTTTTGTGTTCTCCCATTGAGCTTTTGGGTGTGGGCGGAAGGATTTGAAGGGCAAAATTTCATAAACTTTTAAAGGGAGGTCAGAACAAGATTCATACAACCAAACCAAACAGTTAGAATTGGAACTTGTTGAGTTCAGTTGAGCAGGTTCTTGAATGAGAAAATTCAGTTGTTATATAACCCTATTTTGCACCTCTTTTACAATGAAATGAACTTAGACCATATTTGCAAATTAGGCTGCATTTGGTTGCAATGCAAAGTTATTTGTACTGATGTAAAATTATGATAATGCAAATCATTTGGGTGCAAATTTTGATTTATTTTGTGTTTTAAATTTTACCTTATTTTGTTTCATTACAATATAAATGAGGTGAAATAAGACATGAAGCAGAAGAAAGTAAAACCCAAACCAAAATCAAACCAGAATTTGCATTTTTATTTATTTGCACTCCCATGCATTTGTACAAAGCAATAAGAATCATGCACGCATTGATGTACCCAAACCCAAGTATTGGGTTTTGTTGGGTTGAGCAGAATCTTGAATATTGAACGTTAAAATGTGAAGGGTTTTGCGTATCCACACAAATTAGAAGAACTAGAGTACATTGAAAAATTTATACAAAAATGTGCAATAATGTTCGAGCTTTTTTTTTTCAATTTTGTATAAGAACATTTAATGAAGCCAAGGAAAATTTGCTTTATCTTGGAATCATTTCAGAGACCTATAGAAACTCGGTTTTAGATAGGTTGAGAGATGGCCCGTTGGAGATGCTTGAGTGACTTACGGTGATTTAGAAATCCCATAAACCAGAAGTCAAAATTGTCCACCGTTACAATTTCTATGTACTTTCTGTTTGGTTTATCCACATTTTCGCTTTGATTGACTCTGTTGATCTTGCTCAGCGGAATCAAAACCTGTAGAGAAATCACTAACATGTCAATGGAATTCCTCCGAAGAATGTCTAGAATAACAAATTAAGGATGAATTTATGAAGCAACTTATTACCTTAAAGCTGGGTTTGGTTTGACACAAAATAATAGAGAAACATAAAGTTGAGGGAATGTTCTCAAATTAATAATTAATTTAAGGTTTTGTTTGGTTCGCCGGAATATGGGTCTGGAGTCGGGCCATTCTGATTCTAACTGTTTGGTTGGATGGAATGGAATCCCATTCCCATTCCTGATGGAATGGCATTCCCCCATTTGAGGAAATGGCCATTCTCTCCCCCTCCATTGAGAATCAAATCCTATTTCAGCTGGTTTCAATTTTCATTCCGATTCTTTTCTGTTTTGATTCTGATTTTTCCGAGGGATTTTGATTCCAATTCCGATTCTGATTCCAACTATGAAGCAAATGGACCCTAAATGGTTCAAATCCTCCCATTAATCCACAATCCATCTCCTGGATGCCATTCCTCATCCAACAAAATTTTCTCCAACTTTTTTTTTTGTCCCTCTCATCTGTAGTCATTCTACTGTTGTATTTGGGCTTTCTGGGATTCTAGGTACTTGGCAAAACAAATTAATTTACAAGTTTTGTCTGGAATTACCTTGTAAGGTATTCTGATCAAATCTCCAGTTGGAGAAGAGAATGTGAGGGATCTGTCACTGCAGAAAGCAACCTTTTCAGTGGAGATAAAAAGGAGGCCTGCAATAGGACCAGCTGTTGTTGACAAATAGCATTGGGAGGCCTTCAACAATTTCTCTCCTTCACTAACTTGGAAAATCTGTCTGAATACCTTCTCCACCCCACCTCCTTGAATTATTTTGGCACCCAAGCTTAACTTTCGTTTCACAGTTTCAGATACCTTGGGTCCCAACCTCACTGTAACACCAACAAAATGAATAAACAAGTAAACAGAAACAGTCATAATCTTCTCCCCATTGATTTATCGAAATAACAGATGAACTTGAAAAGATTAGAATAAGGAACCCAGAAGAAAATTTTCTTGTTTGTCAGTTTGAAAACTGGTTTTCAAGAACAAAACTAGAATTTGGCATCTTTAGGTAAGTATTAAGATATAGATACCAACCATGCTCGCGGACTCCATTCGCAAAACTGTCTGCTTTCTTGCCGAATTTGTTCATCCATTCAATCAGTGAATCCACTTTTTCTGCAGTATGATGATAGACCCATTAGTGACAATCTTAAATTCTTCTGAAATCATTAAATGTGAGAGAGATGGAGAAAGAGAGAGAGACTTTGTTTTGATCTTGGAGAGCCATTATCTGACGAAGGATGGTAGGAAAGAAGGTATGGGCTAACAGTTGCAGGTGCAGAAGAATGATTCTCTGCTTCTCGTAATTTATAAACTGGTAAAGTAACTACTTGAATTCCAACATTATGATGACCAGGAACCGAGATCTTCATACTGAACGATTCAACCACGATCGCCTGTTAATCCCAATTGATCTCCCTTCCTTCACTTGGTCTGAGCTGAGACTACTCTCGAATGTCGAGATCAAGGAAGGGGGTGAGGGCCTTTAAAACGGAATAAAGTTGGTGGTGCGTGAATCAGATTCTCAACCTTTTGATTTGCAGACTGATCTTTGGCTCACCAAAAGGAATAAAGTGGTCGAATTCCTTTTGAAAAGCTTGGAGAAAAAGTCATGAAAAACTTTGGCCCTTCTCTGTGAATCCTTCTCCGGCGAAGGAAGAAGGGCAGTTATGGTTAGTTCATTTGTCTATTAATTAATAGTTTTTCCATCAATTTAGGGGATATCGACCACTCTTGACCCAACCCATCAACATGTGGGTTTGGAAAATTGGAATGACCCGAAAAGAGTTTTCCCTACTCCCTAGGATTAGACACCACCTTCACCCGGTTTAAAACTTCAAATCAGTGATGTCAGATTTGGATCAGACCGGATGGTTGGACCATCAGAACCGGGAACTAGCAGCCAAAAATACTCTTTTGTTGGCTGGTTCTTAGAAAACGTATTGGTGCATATTATTGACTGATCCATATCAGTTTTCGAAAACCCATTCTCTGGCTCAAATATTGAAATCTAAAATTAAGTATGCATTTGGTTATGGATAGGGAATTTATTTGCACTTTTTCACTTTAAATGTTTATTTATACTTTTTCACTTTAAACGTTTTCTACTCTTTAACACAGATTAATACCCATTAAAGTGTGTTATAGCAGCATTTGGTTTCAAGAAATGCTAGGGTGTTGGGGAAAACAAGAACTTGACGTTTCCCCAAATACCCCATGCACAAAAGTCAAAGTGTTTCAGTTTTCTACAATTTATTTGATAAATAGTGAAACCAAACAATTGTTTCATTTTGTTTCATCTGCAATAAATGCCAATACCTATGTGGCACTTTTTCAATAAACACCAATAGAACCAAATATACCATAAATCTAACCGTGAGTATTATTCCTTTGAATCACACGATATACATACAATTTTTGCATATATATCATGTATATACTGAAACCATCTTCACTTTTCAACATTTTTCACAATTTATTTCAGGGAGTCGAATGGTTGATTGGACGGTTGAACCATTAATTCGACCGGTGACTCAACGACTAAAACGGCTCTCTGATTTGTCCGAGTCTAACAACATTGCTTTAATTAAATAGAGTTAATTCTAGGTTCTGGATAACTGTTTCTGACCCGATTCTTCGGGTTGACCCGAACCCATGTCACCCCCCTCCCTTGTCCCTAATTGAGGGCAATTTTTGCAGTTGAAGATTCAAAGACAACTCAGCTACTCCAACGGTGATCAAGTTGGACCCAGTCCTCCGTCATCAACTGAAAAAACAGAATTCTGATGGTAGTGGCTAGTGATCGATGTTGATGAGAGGCAAAGGTGGATCACGGTGGGTTGGGAACGAGCAATCGTTGAATTTTTCAGGTAAAATTTGATAAGATCACTTTGCTAAATTTAGGCCCTGTTTGGTTGGTGGGAATAGGGGTCTGGAATCAGAATTCGAGTGGTCCAACTGTTTGATTGGATGGAATCAGAATCCTATTTCCATTTCTGTTGGAATGATATTTCCCTATTTGAGGGAATGGCCATTCCCTGCCCTCCCTTGGGAATGAAATCCTATTTTTGCTGATTTTAATTTCCATTTCTGTCTGAACCAAATAAACTATGAGAATGGACTATTTCGATTTCGATTCCGGAGGATTTTGATTTTGATTCCGACTGCAAATCAAACGGACCCTTAAATTGTTTCAGGTCCAAGTTAGACAAAATCCAAAGAATGAAGCTTTCTCCACATTGATTTGGTCAACAATTCAAACTTGCCTATTTGATGCCATGGTGCCCAATCAACGTGTGACCAATGATGAGGTTTCACGTCAGTATTAAATACATAGGCAGGAGCCCATGAATTTAATACTGACGTGGAAAAGCGTTCAGCTAAACCTTGTTCATTGCACCCATACATTGTCATCTTGTATTGAGATGTGCTGCTGAATTATACTGTTTGTGGTTGTGGGGTAAAGAAAAACCCAAATCAAACGGTTATAGAGTGTCCATTTTTTAGATGGTTTGCCATATGATAGTAGAAGTGTCAATGGCGGGTTGCCGGGTTGGGTGAAGCCAACAGACTGAACCGATATATCGGTTCTGGTTGTATCCCAATTAATAATTGGGTTGGAACCAGTTCTTACTATTTCGAACTGATTATAATAGTTAATAATAAATAAAAATATCTTGTTTTCTTTGTAATTTTTGTTATATTTTATGTATGAAAAGACAATTTTGGTTAAAATGCACTTCTTATGTAATCAATTTATTATTTATTTCGTATAAATAGAGTTCCAAGTTGTTATCATCTAGGTAGTTATAGATTTCAATTTTCAAGTCTAATGGGTAGGGCTGTTCATAAGAAGGCCCAACCCGAGTCGGCCGGGTTTTCATCAGCACCGGTCGGTTTCGGGTTATACAAATTCATAAACCGATGGTTCGGGTCGATTTCGGTTTTCTTGTGTGAAAACTAAAATCGACCCGAACCGAACCGACTTAGTTCTTATTTAACTATTTAAATATAATATATTTAAATATATATTTCAATTTTAAATTAAATCGACATAATCTATTTAAATATATATTTTGATTTTAATTTAAATATATTTTATATTTAAAACTGTTAAATAAAGATATTTCAGTTTTACATAAAAACTGAAATATCTGACAACCCAAACTTGCACCACATAGGCACATGGGCCATGGAGGGCATGGATGAACTTAGAGCCAAAACCGACCCAACCCGACTCAAACCGATCAGGTCGGTTTTGCTTAGCACTAGGCCGGTTTCGGTTTCCATCTCAGGTAACCCGACCAGGTCAAATCGGTTGAAAAAACCTCAATAAACCGACCCAGCCCAACCTGTGAACAGCCCTACTAATGGGGTCAGACTTGATTATCAATCTGAATTAATAATTGGTTTGGTAAACCAAATCCGACACATTGATAGCTGGCCCATGGATCAGCAAAATTAGATGATCCGAATCAAGTGATCAACAGTTTAATTATGTGGAATATGATCATGGGTATGTGGGCCTTAAAATGAGAATCCTTGGATATTCCTGTTTTTTTCTTGCTGAATGAATCCCTAATTTACTCTTGTAGCTTTTGTGCTGGCATCTCAGCTTTGTGATGATAACTGATACCATGCAAATCCTCTCTTTCAATATCAATCTCAAAGAAGAATAATAAACAAAGAAAAGAGAACAAAGACAGACAAACCCAACCAAATCAATAGTAATCTAGTAATCTTCATAGGTAAGATTACATCAATTGTTTAATTAATTCTCTCATCCCTCAAAAAGTTTTGTTGAAGAGATAACAAGTGGAAGTCAATTAGGAGCATTAGCTAGAGACAATATCCATGTGGAAGAAACCCTTTTGGTGTTCCTTTCTTGATCATGGGGTGGAATAATGAAGTGGGTAGTGGGTCATGGAGTTCAAAGTTCTCTTTTTCTGCAAATCCAAGTTGGCACTGATATAAAGAACGATACAAGGGCGGTCATGGCTTGAAGAAGACACGGATTGGGCACATGGGTCAGTTAGAGAGAAAAAAGAACCCACATCAAAGTTGCATCACCAGCTCCTTTCTTTTCTGGTAGCGCAAACAAAGATCCCATTCTCTCACTCTGAGATTTCACTCACTTTATTTAATTTATTATTTTCAGTGGGAGAATCAATCTATGGATGAAAAGTAGTGCCCTTGGTCAGATGACGATGAGATTATGTGGGACCAACTATTAGAATTAGAAGGGTCTAATAGAGCACACTGAAATTTGGGATATGTTTGTTTGTAGTGCCAAACTGCCAATCTCAATTTAGATACAAATTTTGCATCTATTTGTTTCATGTGTACTCACTGACAGTGTAAAATGCATCCTAATTAAAAATTTTTAATGTAAACTTTACACCATTTTTCTCTTATTTCAATTCAGTAGGGACCAAGGTTCAAAACATTCGTGTTAGTGTTGAGCATTTTAGCGGGTATGTATTGGTTTTTGGAGTCACCAACATGTTAAATACGCCAAGGTTTTTAAAACCGACCCAGAGAACGAATTGGTCAGGGGTCTGGTCCTCGGGTCAAACTGTCTAACTGTTCGAACCGAATGGTCAGTTTGTTCTAATAAAAAAAATCAAAAAGGTCAAAACTGTTGGAACGATTAACTGCCCGGGTCAGTAATTTGCTGATCAAAATCAACGATTTTTGGAGAAAATCTAATTTTGAGGAAAAATGGAACCCGTCACCTGATCAGTTTCCGGTCTGACCATCCGATCTAGTCCGGTATTGAAAACCATGAATACAACGATTTTGGATAAATATTGGCTACATTCAATGCATAACAGCTTTCCCAATCCAAAGCTTGTAAACCAATGTCCTACTTGAACCCACTCCATTGCCATTCCTACTCATGTGAGGGACAATTTGCTTTGATCATATCATATATCCTTGTAGTTGATACTTGATAGAAATCATCTAGATGATGGTTAGTTTAACCATTTTAAAAAATCTAGTGGCCTTTTGAGTTGTATCTATCTCGTGGACCGGTCCATCCATGGGATGAAAGTTGTGTTTGGTTTATTGTGGACGAAACTAATCCGCAATATATCATGGATCGGTCCCATCCAAAACCTAATTTCTCATACACTGATTTTTCTCGTGGATTGTCCGAATATTTGATATAATGCATTTCAAACCTTTTTAACCCTATATCATATTTTAAGGTTGCAACTTGCAAGAGCTTATGCTTCTCTTCCGCTACTCTATTCCTTTACAAGGGAAGAATACGCCCAAAATCAGAGATGAAACAATATTACTTGGAAAAGATAACTAGTGTATAGTTTTTTGTTATGGCTTTACATTTCATTAGAATTAAATATTTTTCTTATAATTTTAAATTTAAATTTTTATGATTTATCAGTTTTTCACATATTTTAGTAACTTTTGTTCTTCTTATTAAATTTTAATAATTTTTATTATTCTAACATAATATTATAATGATTTTTTTTAAATGCTATAATATTTTTTTAACTTTTAAGTTTTAATATTTTTATTATTGGATATATTCATGTTTCTATATCTTTATCCTCCAAAATTTGTCATATATATATATATATATATATATATATATATATATATATTTGTTTATT